CTGCGTACTGGCAGCGTCTGGCCTGCGGCACGCATGTATTCCGCGGGTCGCTCTTCATCGCCAGCGTGCCGAAGGTGCGGTGATGACGAAACGCTGCAGCATATTGTTTGCTCCTGCCCTGACCTGGCCACTGAGCGTTGCGCACTGGTAAGCCGCTATCGTCTGCTTGGACTACCTGCCGAAACAATGGAAGACATACTTTTTCCCGCGCGCTCGAAGACGAAAGCCCTTCGAGCCTTCCTCGAGTTCTGTGCTTGCGCGGACCTCGCCGCCTTATAGACGAACTCTTTTCATTCGCACTACTGACTGTACTGACAAGACGTTCTCTTGCCATGCCATTCACTTTTTCTTTCCCTCCTCTCTTCTTCCTATCATCTTTACTTCCCCTTCCCCGATCCCTAAAGGCGCTGAGCCGTGCCCCCGCGACGGGAGGCAGAAAATAGCGTCCTTTTTATCTCTTCCTCTTTCATTAATATCTCTCTCTCTCTCTCTCGCGAACGTCAATAGGTAAACGAAATTTTCAGACGTATTCCGAAGCTGCGCCGGCTACAAAATCCGATTGGAACATTCCAGGGCTGCTCGCGAACGCTAGCCAATCAGCAGAGGCCGAAAGGAACAGCACATAAACGCCGACCTGCTATAGTGCTACCATATTAACGCGATCATTTTCTACCATCAAGTCACGTTCCACGTCGCTACGCGATCCTACGCTAGCTATTTCGCGTCGAGAACCTCTACATGCTACACAGTTCCCGTCCAGTGCGGTTGACGTTGACTCAAGCATGGAAGACGAAGGTAAAAATCGGTGAGCCTTTTTTTATTTTTCGTATACATTAGCAACGTGACTGAGTGCTTTCAATCATTGCTTCCCCCCCCCCCCTTTTTTTGTAGTTGTCGTCCAACGAGGCGTGGAGACGACCGTTGCCAAGGTGCGCGAAATATCATCTGGCATCCGAAAAAAATTGCCCGCAGCTTCCCTCGGGGGAACACTGAGGAGGATGCGGAGCATATAATTGGTTAACGGGGTGTTAAAGTGCGACTTACTTGGGTCGATGGCTTAATTGGTTAACGTGGTTGTGAAATGGGGTGTTAAATTGCGACTTACTTGGGTCGATGGCTAAATTGGTTAACGTGGTTGTAGGAGGGGGTGTTAAATGAGTGAACACGTACACACGTATGCGAAAGGGCGGCGCTGGTCGAAGGGACGTCGATCATTGTTTTTGTGGATTCGTTGGAATTCATTTCACCGCGACCTTGGACGTCGACGCGCCGTACAAACCAACCGACGAGCGCCAACTGAGCGAGCGAGCGCCGACCTTGAGTATATATACAGCGCGACGGCGCATGCACTGTCAGCTGTCGAATGTTCGAGAAGGGGGAGAAGCGCAACGGCGCATGCGCGCGCGTCAGCTGCCGATGTTCTCGAAGCGCGACGGCGCATGCGCGCGCGTCAGCTGCCGATGTTCTCGAAGCGTGACGGCGCATGCGCGCTACATTATACAGCTAGCGAATGTTCGTGAAGAGGAGAAGCGCGCGCGGTGTGTAGAGGAGGAAGGGATGCACAGATGGTGGAAGAAGGAGGAGGAAGCTTGCGGACGGCGCCGCACTACAAGCCTCGAGTATTAGATGCTCCGCATCTAATAAACTGGAACAACTTGCCCAACTCAATAAATACCAGTTGGAGTTCTCGTGGAAACTCCACAATGCGATGCGCGAGGAGTACGTCGCTATGTACCGCGAGGTGCTTACCGAAGGTAAGTTTTCCATTCGTACGTTCACTCATTTAAGGCGGCTGCCTTTCAAGTGAAAGCCCGCTACTCTTATAATGCTGCGCAAACAGCCGAACGCAAGCACCTTAACACATGAGCTCTGCGCGTGATGTGCTCGATCAGCGTTTGCCTGTACTTGCTGCTTTCGCTGCAGTTATTTGGAAGACATTTTAGGCTTGACGCTGCGTGTTTTGTTCTTGCTCAAGTTTTGCAGAAAGTTTGGGTGTGCTTGTCTATATATGATTTAAGGCCAAGCTGTTCAAGATCGGCCAGCGTCTCGAGGAGGCGTTTGCACGGCAAATCCCTGGTTTGCTTTCGCGAAAGCTATCATGCATGGCTTCTGCTCTACGACGCTCGCTTCCCGCTAGCATCGCATTAGCAGCGTACGCGCTCCCTGTGAGATATACCACGGCCGCGGCAGTAGTGGATACAAGGTGCGCGTAGCGTATCCCTGAGGACCCGTTCTGGCGTGATTTAAACAGCGAGAACAGAACTGGAGAATGGTGTGGATTGCGTTAGCAGTGTGTGATTTTGTCTGCGTGCGATTTGAAAGAGCACGGAGTATACGCCACGTTCGAGGTGTACTTAGTGAGCCGTTGAGTCGATCACAGAAGTTATGCCAATTTTCGCTAGTGAGGATGTTCGCATAGTCATGTGCCTCAGTAGCTAGTTGGGCGAATCGGAGACGAAGTTTTCGGTTATGTTTTTGTCGCCGCCACCACCGATTCAAGCCTCTGTGGGCATCCCAGAGATGCAGCAGATACCGGTCCACATCCAGCGTTTCTGTCGTCGCAGCGATGAGTTAGGTAGCTCTTTGAAAATCGGACTGATGTTGTAATATCCAAGCCTCTAGGGAAGGAGAGTCCTGATGGGTAGTTGTACGATTACGCCTAAATGCATCTCAATTTGTTAGTTTTATGATGCGCTCTGGGGCATGCGTGGCTGCTACTTGGAGCTCTGTAGTTAGTATATAGTGATCACTGCCTAGATTCACCATGAGGTTGCACCAGAAATGGTGACTAACCCCCTTGACCATCGTGAGGTCGGGGCATGTGTCCCTGCTCGCACTATCACCTAGGCTAGTGGGTTGATCAGGTTCTGTCAGCAGGGTCATGCGATGAATCGCGAGAACCTGTGCGAGTCGTCGGCCTTTAGGCGTTTCTGTTGCGTGGCCCCAAGCCGGATGGGGGGCATTGAAATCTCCTACAATAACTATGTGTTTACCCAACTTGCGTAGTTGTGTAAATAGATGACCGAAGTCATCGTTCCTGGCGTTAGGTGCACTGTAAACGTTAAGCACGTACAGGCTGCTACTGGAAGGAGAGGTCCGCTAGGGGGGCAGACAAGGCTGGTGTGCCTCGCATGGGCTCCGTATTCTACGAAGTTTTTGTTGAACCAAGACTGCTTTTTTGGTGCCAACAGTGGTCTCTCTTGAACTTCAGCAATTTGCCGACGCTGCTGGTGAGTGCCTTAAACCTCTTTGTTTTTGAGGAGCTTTGCAAACTTCAACTCTTGCTGAGCGGGGGAGCGCCGCCTCGTCAGCCCTAACGCCACCGGCACCGGCGTCGGTCTCACGCTTCGACGCGCGTGCACAAGTTCATTCGGCAACGCAACGGCATACATGGTGAGTGGCACGGACTTAACTGCCACCGAATTTAACCCAGAAGAATGGAGTGTAGTCCTGAATGCCCGACAACGCTCACCTCGACAGCAGTCAAAAGAAACTGAAGGTACGCAGTCAAGTAAAGCGGCGTCAGCTGCCGAAACGCCAGCACGCAAAACGGAATCACCGCCCAGCGTTTCCTCAAAGCTCTACCACACAGCTGTGGCACATCCTCGCTTAAAACGACTGCCACGGTTGCCAGTCCATGACTTCAAGATTGTCTTGCGTCCGAGTGCGGGCGTAGATCTGGCCCAATACAACGATGGAGAGTTACGAGCGGCTGTAGTCGCCAACAGCGGACTGCACTCTGTGGTTGCCGACGAAGATCTTGTGTGCACCAATCTGGCCAAGAATATTTTCACCGTATCCACATCTTGCGCTGACCAAGTTGCCAACTATGCAAAAATACGAGAACTCACGTTAAGTGGTAAAAAACTGGGATTTCATGCGTACATAGCTCCCCCGGACGGGGCACGGGCAGGGATCATATACCGCGCTTGGAATGTTGAAACACCTCAGGCATGCTTCAAGAATTACGTCGGGCGAATCTCCTTCTACCAATAGTCCAAGCAAGGGACATGGGGCGCACCTCACGCTCAGTGCTCATTCACTTCATGGCTGAGAAGCTTCCTCCGTCAGTCAAAATGTTTGGCATCCTCTACGCCGTTTTCAACTTTCGACCGAAAGTGGAAGCGTGCCTAAAATGCAGACAAGTCGGCCACCGACGAGATGTATGTCCTTTGCCAAATCGCCTCACTTGCTCAAGCTGCGAACAGAATCACCCGGAGGACTATCCCTGCACTCCGCAGTGCGTCATCTGTAGGGATGCTCACAAGACGGGTGACAGGGCATTCAAGCAACGCATTCAGCGTGGCTTCAGCCATCTCTCTCAGCCATGACAAAGGCCGCAACAAGAGCACCAGCAGGAGCAGCCCAAGCTCCAGCTCGAGAAGGAGTTTTTTATAAGCATCGACGATAGAAATTGTAGCAGCAGAAGCAAAAGTCCTGGACGAAACCGTAGCAGCAGAAGTAGGAGTCCTGGACGAAACCGTGGCAGCAAAAGCAAAAGCCCTGGACGAACAGCATCACAAAGCCGCGACTTCAGCACCAAACCCGAAAAGATGAGCTGGGCAAAGCAAGCCTCCTGCTCCTGTTGTATCCTGTTGTATGCTCTCTGACGCTAAAGAAAATTCTAAAACTCAGGAGACTATCGAACGTCTAATGCGAGAGAATCAAGAGTCAAAGCAAAAGTTGGCTCTGGTACTGGAACGTTTAAGTACACTTACAGCTGCCCCACCTGCATCTTCTCCACCCCTATCTATCTCCCCCTCTACCATAGAGCCTGATATGGCAGCCGAGTCAGGGACCGATATTATAGATTCCTCTCCACAGCCAGCAAAAAGAAAAGACAGAGCAGCCCGAGTCATCAGAGGATGATTTTAAAAGCACCAGTCAAAAAATTCGGAAAGAACACTGGGAACTCAAACAAAAGATTCATTTAGGCTTTACGCAAATTGCTGAACGCTTCAATAAGATAGAGAGTATTCGAGACGTGTTAGTTGCTCGGCTCAAATGTCTCCCACAATCTCAACCCTCTCCAGCGCCTTCGCAGCCATAACCCCCTTCGGCACCCTTGCCTCATCTTCACCTTCTTCACTCTGCATCTGGCAATGGAATTGCCGTGGATTAAGAAACAAGGGAGACAGCCTCTCACTTTATATACAGCGGTCTACACGGGCCCCTGATGTCATCTCCGTACAGGAGCCTTTAAAAGCTTGCAAACTCCTCGGCTATTAGGCTGTACATTCGCATCCTAGCTCACCATGGGCTACCACATATATACAGAGGAATATCTCGTTTATAGCGCATGATCTTTCCGATCATAACAGTGACTGCCTTCTTCTTGAGCTTCTCCCACGTCGTACAGGACAAGGCACATATTTTATTTTCAATATTTATTCTCATCCTAAAGATGGCCTCACTGCTGTTTTTGAAGCAATCGATAGGGCCATCCAAATAGCAAACTCTGCTCCCATAGTTGTAACGTGTGACTTTAATGCCCCGCGCGTAGATTGGGGTTACAGGAGAAACACTCGGAAGGGCACCAGCCTTCTTCAATACATTCAGCGAAACAGGTGCACTCTAGTCACTGACTGCATGCTACCAACACGAATTGGCAACAGTGTGAGCAGAGATACCACCGCTGACCTTACTTTCACTAAAAATGTGGGACAAGCTAACTGGACACACAGTGGGGTCGACCTCGGCAGTGATCATTACATCCTAACAATTACACTGTCCCAAGCCAATTTTTGTCCACAGTTTAATTTAAAAGCTATTGTTCAGTGGGACAAATTTCGCGAAATCCAAGACCGAAACCCGAAAAAAAAGAAATTCAAGACTACAAAGACTGGGCGTCTCAGCTTAAACAGGATGTAGCTCTTAGCGAAAAAGTAGCCCCAGCCGCACATACCCACGATCCAGTAGACAGCAGGCTACTCCACCTATGGGAGGACTATCAGAGCTTGGAGAAACGATGGCTCAAGCAAAAATATAATCGCAAACTAAAACGCAAAATGTCACAGACACTTCAGCTTGTAACTGTACACGCGGCCGAACTTTCATCGCAGCAATGGAACCAGATATGTAACCGACTCGACGGTACTTTACACATAAGAACTCTTGGTCCCTGCTTCGCCATATGTTAGACCCATGCCCCTCGCGATGTGAAAGTAATAAGCGAATTACGAAACTCTTGTTTGAAGTAGAAAAATAAGGGCAAGACGTTGCAACTGCTCTTAAAGCTACGTATTTCCCTTGCCCAAGGCGAGAATCGTTACCTACCTACAATGGAGCTCCCAATGCAGACTTGGATGCACCGATTGCAGAGGCGGAAGCTTGGGCTGCCCTAAGCAAACTTCGCACCACATCTGCTCCAGGACTAGATGAAATTACTAACAAGACACTCCGAAATTTAGACTCCAAGTCAGTGGCAGCTCTTACCGATTACATGAATCAACAATGTGAGCAGGGCAGGCTGCCCAGGAATGGAACTCAGCTAAGGTGACTTTCATACCCAAACATAATAAGCCGTTAGACCTTAATAATTTGAGACCGATCTCTCTTACCTCATGTACAGGAAAACTGATGGAGCATGTAATTCTCAATCGTCTTAATCGATACATGGAACAAGAAAAACTGTTTCCCTCCATCATGTACGGCTTCCGAGCGGGACTCTCCACTCAGGACGTCATGCTGCAGCTCAAGGAGGACGTGCTAAGTCCTACTTTTCCACACATCACCAGAGCCATCCTTGCATTGGACCTGACTAAGGCTTTTGATAATGTTTCTCACTTCTCGATTTTACAATCTCTTAGTGAACTAAACGTAGGCTCTCACACGCACAGGTATGTCTCTGCCTTTCTTAGCAATAGGTCCGTCCGCCTACAGTTGGGCACTTTCAAAAGCAATTCCTTCACGCTAGGTAGCAAGGGAACGCCCCAGGGATCGGTTTTGTCCCAGTTCCTTTTTATCGTTGCTCTCATACCGCTAGCGCGGGAACTTGCCAAACTTTCTTCCATCAATCACTCCTTGTACGCGCATGACATCATCATCTAGGTGAATGCTGGTAACCATGGCGAAATCGAATCGAAGCTTCAGTTGCCCGCTGACATTGTTGTTAAACGCGCCAACAAAATATGGCTCACATGCTCGGCGGCTAAATCGGTACTCCTAGTAATTGACTTTAAAAAGCATGATACATGTCACATTCAAGTCATGCTTGATGACACCCCTATTCGCAGGGTCAATAAAATTAATATTTTAGGCCTTAATATTTCCGACAATGGTTCGAACGCTGACATCATAAAGTTAATCCGCACGTCAGTTCAAAATACAGCTTCCCTCATTAAGCGCATATCCAATACAGGCCTTTTGCCTATGCAGAATTATCTATTTTATCCCCTACCTCTATCTCTCACTTACGGAGATCGACCAACTTAACATACTCATTCGTAATGCCCATAAAACTGCGCTCTATCTCCATAAATCAACAGCCACGGATAAACTACTTTGACTTGGGGTGCACAACACTCTGGGAGAGCTTGTAGAGCCGCATCTTTTCAGCCAATATCAAAGACTATCACTACCAGAAACAGGACAGGTACTCTTGCGCCGACTTGGAATCAACGAGCCTGGTCAAACCATGGCCACGCACGCAGTTCCCGTCACTGTTAGTAGAAACCTATTAATCCCGCCACTCCCCAAAAATACTCAACCAGAACATAATCGGGCGCGACGGGAAGCTCGAGCCAAGTCCCTTCAGAAGCGCTTCCCTCCTAATTCTCCCACAGTTTATGTAGACGCGGCTGAATATGTAGATCATCGAGCTTTCGCGGTAGCCGTCGTAGATGGATTTCAAAAACTGGTCGCTAGTGCGTCCCTTCCAAATTCGACAGAATCCCTGGAAGCAGAGGAGGCGGCAATTGCTTTAGCCATTGTTCACTCCTCCACTGAGTATATTTTTTTTCGATCCAAAAACTGCAGTTCGTAATTTCGCCACTTTCCGAATTCATTCTCCGGCTGCTAAAATTCTTGAATCATCTCTTCCGCCTGATCGCCTCATCACCCTCCTCTGGGTCTCTGCGCACTGTGGACACCCAGGCAAGGCGGCCGCTCACACCCAAGCCCGAGCACTCGCCAACCGGGCTCACAGCAACCTGCCTTCGCTTCGAGGTGCCAGGGATCGACTCCTCAGCTATCACGATATCACCCTATTTTACCGAAATTCTCGCTTAACGTATCCCCCACCACATAAATCTCTTTCCAGAAGTGATCAGACTTTGTGGCACAGACTTCAAACGGCCACAGTGATGACTCCTTTTCTTCTCTCCCTTTTTACACATGGCGAAACCTCGCCTCATTGCAACTTATGTCCTAGCATCAGAGCCAACTTCCAGCACATATTTTTGAATTGTCCAAACAAACCCAAGCCCCCGTGGCAAGAGTCAGAACACCAGGAGCGATGGGAGGCTGCTCTGCGCAGCTCGCAACCAGGTTTACAGCTCCGGACAGTGAGCTGGGCCAGAAGGGTCGCCGAAGCACAGCAGTGTCCGGCCACCTAGAGCGGCCCGAGGGCTCATCGTCATTCTGATTCCACTTCCCCTACCACACCTCCCTCAAATGCTTCCTTCGTGAATCAATAAAGTTGATTACCTACCTAGCTGGAACGAAAGCACGGGACTAATTCGAGAAGCATACGTGTGAGATGGAGGTGCTTTGAAAGGTGTGTTCTATGACAGTGGCATGCTTAGAAACTAATGTAGCTGTGCGATGTGGTGTATTGTTCGTTACGTTCGTGTATGTGGTGTAACCCGGAAGCGTAGCGGTACATTGTACTTCTTGTAACGCTATGGCATCGGGAATAATCCGCTGCGTCACAATGAATTGCATTAGAGCTCCGCGTTTTCTACGATACCCCCTGCGATTCCACTGCCACAAAGTAGGAGTTGAGAAGTGTCACGCGTTGACTTACGGTTTCTCGCCATGATCATGCCATAGCAGGGCCTCGGTAGTACACGGAGGCATTTCAGACTGTGCTAAATCTTGGTGGAGGGTGGTGGGAAGCGGGACTGCAGCAGCTGCGGCTGTTGGGACGGTTTTTCGGGATGGTGATAGGAAACGGGAGGGGCGTATGTAAGGATGCGGTCGCTGTGTTTCACGTGTCGGAGACGTGGTGCGTTTTGGTGCAGATGGCGCAATATTAAGTTGGACAAGTGCAGCCGATATCTGCTGTTTAACATCCGTTACAATCTGCTGGACAGTAGGTTGCAGGGCCTGCTGGATCAATTGTTGGAGTGGAGCTGTTCAGTTCAGCCATAATGCTATTCTTCATTTTCTGCTTTTCTACCTACATCATAGCTGCGAATTCGTTCCTTAAAGAAGTAGCCATTTCGTTCAGCGCCTCTCATGTGCAGTAGTCGGATCGTGCTGTAGTTGATGACATGTCAGGGTTAAGCTGAGTGTCTGCTGTACATGGGTTGTGGTAGTCTAGGTGCCGTTGGTTGTGGAGTTATTTGCTGAGTTGATGTTTGTGTGAGGGAGTGGGACTGGTGTGGAGAGGAAGGAAGAGGAGGGAACTGCCCTGCCCAGCTTACCGTTTGTGCTTTCTTGTGGGAACCGCTTTGCTGGCCATGATGATGCGTTGTCTCATCCGTGTGCCAGCCTTGAGAGTCATGCTGGCCAGCGAAACCGCTCCACGATGACCAGTTTCCTCGCTTGGGCCCCGACTGATCCCTGGAATGGCTCCTTCGCCTGGCTGCACTCCCGGACGCACTGCTCTGCCGTCCGGGGCTAGGAGATGGTGACTGGGCCTTCCTGGTGGGAGTAGCTGACCGGGGTGGTTTGCGTCGGTTGACTGGTGGCAAAAACCGCTTTGGGCATGGTTTGGCAGCCTTCGGGTAGGTCGCCACCGCAAAGCATGCAAGAAGGGCGGCACTCATGGTTGTTAGGTGATAGTGAATCTCCGCACACTCGACATTTAGGTGTGTCAGGAGGCTGTGGGCACACATGCTCGTGGTGTCTGTTTTGTTGCACTTTCTAGTGGGGAATAGTCCGTTTGTAGAGGTAGCAGCGAAGAGCCTGTCCGTACGCGTTGACGAAGAAA